GCCCATCAGGGGGTTGGGGGGCTCCCCCTTATCAGGCACAGAGCAGGGCCGATCATGGGGTTGGTTTGCCTTCCCCTGTCACAAACAGAGCAGGGTGGATAGGGAGGTTGTGGCGCCGCCCCCTGTCACACACAGAGCCGCAGGGCGATCAGGGGGTTTGGGCACTGCCCCCTGTCACGCTACTCCATGGGCGAAGAGGCCTTGTGGCTCCACTGATCCCCCTGCTAGGAAGCCTCGCTGCTCTGCTGATCCCGGTGCTGGGAGGCCTCGTGGATCCACTGATCCCGGTGCTGGGAGGCATATTACCCTTTTGCTATATAGGATAGAGGCCTGGTGCTCGGGTGGGAGCCTGCTGGTTTGCCCTGAAGGGTGTCCTGGATCAGGGTGGGGGTTCCACTTGGGTGCCTGGCCAGCCTGGATGAGGGGATGATGGCTGTTTGCAGCTGGTCAGACCCCCTTCAGGGTGGGGGTCCCCACTGGGGTGCCTGGCCAGCCGGGGTGAGGGGATGATGGCTGTTTGCAGCTGGTCACACCCCCTTTAGTGTGGGGGTCCCCACTGGGGTGCCTGGCCAGTCTGGGTGAGGGGCTGAGGGCCGTTTTCAGGCTGGCAGGTGACTGAAGCTCCCACCCTCTCTTTTTTTCCTTTTTTTTTTATTTTTTATTCTGGGATTTATTTACCTTCTATGGCTGTCACTGGAGCTGAGAGCCGGCTTTAGCTGTGAGACCTCGGCTGCTGAAAGCAGGTTTCTGGGCTTTGTTTACCTTCTGTATTTGAAACTTTGTTGCGACTCCAGCTCTGAGATCCCGGCTGGCTGAAAGCAGGTATCTCGGGTTTTGTTTAGCTTCTATATTTGTAGCAATGTTTCTTAGAGAGCAGCTCAGAGCCCAGCAGCAGCAGGCGGGGAAGCTTGGCTTCCGCCATCACTGGAGCAAGCAAGCCTCCTGTTCGCGTCAGGTGCCTGGCTGCCGGCTGCCATCTTGGTTGGCAGTTAATTTGCATATCGCCCTGATTAGCCAATGGGAAAGGCAGCGAAGTTATGGCTAATTACCATGTTTCTCTTTTATTAGATAGGATGTTATGCCATTGTGGTCTGAGAAGATGCTTGATATGATTTCAATCTTCAATTTGAGGAAACTTTGCTTGTGACCCAATATGTGGTCTATTTTTTAAAATGTGCCATGTGTACTTAGAAGAACATAAATTCCATGGCATTGGGGTGAAATGTTCTGAAGATGTCAATTAAGTCCATCTGATCTAGTGAGTCATTTAGGATTGCTGTTTCTTTGCTGATTTTTTTGTCTAGAGGATTTATCCAGTGATGTCAGTGGTGTATTAAAGTCCCCTATTATGATTGTATTGTTGTCGATCTCTCCTTTGATATCTTCCAGGAGTTTTTTTTAATGTATTTGGTGCTCCTGCATTGGGTGCATATATTTTTATCACGGTTGTCTCCTCTTGTTATATCGTTCCTATTAATATTATGAAGTGGCCATCTTTATCTCTTGTTATGGCCCTTATTTTGAGGTCGATTTTGTCAGATGTAAATATTGCTACCCCGGTTTTTTTATTTCATTTCTATTTTCCTGAAAGATATTTTTCCATCCCTTCACTTTCAGCCTGTGTGAATCCCTTGTTCTGAGGTGTGTCTCATGTAGACAGCATATATATAGGTCATGTTCTTTTTATCCATTCAGCTGCTCGATGTCTTTTGATTGGAGCATTTAGTTCGTTTATGTTTAAAGTTACTGATAGTTATTTGTAGCCATTTTTATTTTTTGTGTCTGTGTTCTTTCTTCCCTTGTTATTTCTTCTTTTTACACCATTCCCTTTAGCATTTCTTGCATTGCTGGCTTGGTAGTGATAAACTCCCTTAGCTTTTTTTTTTGTATGTGAAGATCGTTATTTCCCCTTCAATTTTCAATGATAGCCTTGCTGGAGAGAGTGTTCTTGGATTTAGTCCCTTTCTTTGTATCACTTTGTAAATTTCCTTCCATTCTTTTCTGGCCTGATGTGTTTCTGTTGGGAAGTCATTAGATAATCTAATGGTTTAGAGCCCTTGTACGTAACTTTCTGTTTCTCTCTTGCATCCTGTATGATTCTCTCTTTGTCCTGAACTATTGCCATGGTAATTATGATGTGTCTTGGTGTGGGTCTTTTCAGGTTCATCTTGTTTGGGACTCTGTGCTTGCATGACTATTTTCTTTTCCACATCAGGGAAGTTTTCTTTTTTTTTCTAAATATATTTCATTGATTTTTTACAGACAGGAAGGGAGAGGGATAGAGAGTTAGAAAAATTGATCAGATGCCTCCTGTGCACCCCCCACTGGAGATATACCTGCAAACAAGGTACATGCCCTTCACCGGAATAGAATCCGGGACTCTTCAGTCCACAGGCTCTAGCCACTGAGCCAAACTGGTCAGGGCCAGGGAAGTTTTCTGACATTATTTCTTCAAATGGGTTTTCTAACCATTGTTCCTCTTCCTGTTGTTCTGGCACCCCTATTATTTGTATGTTGATCGTTTCATGTTGTCCCATAGCTCCCTTAGGTTCTCCTGCTGTCTTTTAATTTTTTTTTCCAATTTCAGTTCAGTTTGGTTGTATTCTGCTTCCCTGTCTTCTAATTCACTAATTTGGTCTTCCACTTCTCCTACTCTACTGCTGAAACATTACATGGTATTTTTTATTGCAGCTATGTCATTCTTTATTTCTTCTTGATTCTTACATAAGTTATTGATTTTTTTCATCCATCCTGTTTATGAACTTATGATGCTTATTCTGAATTCTTTTTCTGACATATTGCATGCCTCTGTTCTACTTAGCTGCTTATCTGGTGATGCCTCCTTTTCTTTCCTTTGGGGGTTTCTTTGTGTACCCATTTTTTATCTCACCGACAGATCTAGATATGGATTCTTGCAGGGCCTGTTCCTTGGGTGGCAGTGGCTCCTCGGGCTGCATTTGCCCACTGGGCCTTCACGGCAGCAGCTGCTTCTCAGTTGGCAGTGGCTCCTATAGTGGGGGCTGCAGTGGTGGCTCCTGGCTCCTCTGGTGGGTGGGGGAGGGCTGCTCGCACAGCTGCTGCTCCTCGGCTGCTCAAGAGGCTGCTGCTTCTCGGATGGGGGCAGGCTGCGCATGCTACTGCTCCTCAGACGGTGGCGGGCTACTTGCGTGGCTGTTGTTCCTTGGACGGGGGTGGACTGCTCACGTAGCTGCTACTCCTTTGATGGGGGCTGGCTGCGCGTGGCTGCTGCTCCTCGGACTGGGCAAAGATTTCTTTATATACCCGGTGAAATTTAGAGGTAATTGTGATGATCCAGATATTTAAGGGTTACAGTGACAATATCTTGTTAGGAGTCCTCTTATCAGATGTCTGGATAGCCATGACTCCTTTAGCACCCAGCTGGCGGGAGGCTCCCTGGCGCCCAGCAACCGCTGCACACTATGGGCGAGGCCAGAGGGTAGAATGCTTGCTGGCCTAGCAATAGCCTCACACTCTGCACCAGGACTGGCTTTCATGCTGTGGCCACTGTGGGAGGTGTTGTCATAAGGACAGAGGTTGTCACGTAGAGTGTGGTGGAGAAATAATCATTTTGCACTGGCAAATACCTTCAAAAAATGAGTGACCTGAGGTTAATTGGAGGCCGAAGAGTAATTCAAATGACAAGAGTCTAGGGTTGGTACATACACCTTTTCTAAACTCTCACCAGGATGTTGTTGTGACCTTCAGTGTGGCCTGGCTGTGGGGAGTTGAAGTTCGTTTTGTGGATTAGCTTAGAGCAGTGATGGCGAACCTTTTGAGCTCGGTGTCAGCATTTGGAAAAACCCTAACTTAACTCTGGTTGCCGTGTCACATATAGGAATTTTTTGATATTTGCAACCATAGTAAAACAAAGATTTATATTTTTGATATTTATTTTATATATTTAAATGCCATTTAGCAAAGTAAAATCAACCAAAAAATGAGTTCATGTGTCACCTCAGACATGCGTGTCATAGGTTCGCCATCACTGGCTTAGAGGCTTGAGTGAGACTCACTGGGCATGGTGCAGAGGGCCATCGGGGCTGGGACTTGAGTGAAGGTTAAGTGAGGGATGTTGGCTGTGACTAGTGAAGGGACATCAAGTGCAGCATAACAGGAGATGGGCTGTGGATATCTGAGATCTGATTGTTCTTAACAGTTGGGGTTGAAGGGAAAAAAAACAGTCATGGAGAGAGGCCTACATAGCACCACTCAAGGCTGCCACTATGAGTGTGGACTATCAGATACTGGGCAGTACGTGATCCTGATTCAGTTTGGCAACCGTCCTCTGGACCACACATGCTGAGTAATAAGTAAAGGCCGGGAGATGAGTATGGGGGCAGGAGCTGTGGAAGTGCCGGTTTGAGAGAGGTGTGGTAGATGGAGTGATGTGCACTTGGAGAGGGAATGTGAATTCATGGCCACAGCACCATGACATTGACATAAGAGTGAATGAAGGAAGAGTCCATTTCTGGTGGTGCCTGGATGGAACAGTAAGGTCAATTTTAGGGTAATTGCCTGTAAAGAGGGGTGTGTGTGTGCCACATTCTAGGTTAAGAGCTTAGGTGCCATTTAACTAACCACCTGCTTTTTGTTGTTGGGAGTGACACACTGGTTGATGGGAATGAGATAGCATTCATCAGTGTTACTCAGGCTTGTAAATCTCCACTGGCATGGGTAAGGGTGAAGGGTAAGAGAGAAATAGATTATGGAGATGGGGACCTATATTTTTGGAAAAGAGGTGATTAGGAAATAATATATCCACGCCACGACAATTTGCACTACCTTTGAAGTTGTGCGTCTGGGAAAGAAGCTGTGTGAGAGAAGTGTTGTTCAATAAGAAGACAGTGGCTTTGGTGGGATGAAGGCCTGGTATTTTCTCGGATGTGAAGCGTGCAAAGAGCACATGGGTGGGGAATATGACAGACTTATAATCTTAGGAGTGAATCTGATCATGGGCTGTACTGTCCCCATTATGACAGGATGTGAACTTTGAGGACGTGGCCATTGCCTTCTCTGAAGTGGAGTGGGTGATCCTGGATGATGCTCAGAGACTTCTGTACTACGATGTGATGCTGGAAGTGTTTGCCCTTGTATCATCTGTAGGTAAGACCTTCACATTCTCCCAGTGTCCTGAGGTGATGTCCTCTCTTTCTTTACACCTCAGGCGTAGCTTTCTGTCTCCCACAGCCAGAACATGGCCTCTGCTAATGTCCCCCTCTGTCCTGTCAAATGTGCTGTGGCTGCCAGGGATGAGCTGGATGGGAGCCCTGAGTAAAGGACTCCAGGAACATCCCTAACACCCGTAACCTCAAAAAGTACAGGAAGTGTCAGGGAGTCAAGAGCCTAGCGTGAGTTTAATGGGTCCCAGCTTGCACTTTCTCTTCATGGGAGGCTGACAGTGTCCACATGCATGGCTTCTACTTCTGCCCTCTTTCTCTTGGTACACGTTCTTGTGCCACATTATGGTCTTTACCTACATAAACCATGGGCTGTTTTGGTAAGGCCCCCATTCAAATGTATGTAATATTCTCTTCCCTGAATACTATAGCAAGCTGTTTAGCTCTGGCCCAGTGCAGACTACTCACTTCTTCATCAACTGTTCATCTGCATTGGTGCCTCTGCAGTAATCTGCAACGTTGACTTGTACATGTGATATGTGCATAGATGTGCTAATTAGTCCTTGAAACCAGCTACTCCTTTATTGAATTTTACTTGGAGTAAGACCTAATCAACTTCTTCCACAGCCCCCCCCACCCCCCATCCCCGGTAAACAATACGTGCAGAATGCTGTTAGTTGAAGGATGGGCTGGAGATCCATATTCTCATCCATGTGGTGCTTGCCATGTTTGTGTCATATTTCTGGTGAGGCCTCCCTGTTTGTGATCTTCATTAGCGTAGAAAGTCACAAGAGCCTGTTATTAATCCTTCCTGCACATCTCTTATTTTCAGACAATTGCATGGAACCAACGTGTGATGTGTAACACACTCTTGCAATGGGACTTCCCCCTGCCACCAGATTCAACATTCATTTCCTCACCATTTCTCACTTTTCAGGTTGTTGGCATAAAATGGAAGATGAGGAGGCCTGTTCTGATCAGCGAGTATGTATACAAGGCAAGTCACAGGTCAGGACTTCTAAGACAGCTCCAGTCACCCATAAGAACCATCTCTGTAAGCGGTGTTTCTCTCTGTTACAACATATTTTTCACCCGACTGGGTCACATGCAGCATACTTTGAGCAGAAAGCCTTCTGTAGCGACGCATGTGTTGGAGAATTCTGTTTCAGTGTAAACCCTCACCAGCAACAAAAGAATGAATGTGGAGAGGGGCACTGGAAAGAAGCTATGGACAGGGCCTCTTTTGTGAGCAGGTGCAGCTTCTCCTTCCCTTCGGTGCCTTCAACCAGCAGGGAGGTTGGGGAAGACTTGCAATCCAACTCAGAGCTTCCCCAGCACCAGGCCACTCTCAACACTGAGGAGCTACACTGTGGCAGTGAGATTTCACAGGAATTTCTCCATGGAAAAAGTCATCACCGGTGGGATGAATGTGGAAACGCTGCCAGCCACAACCTGAAAGTTGTTCAGTGTCAGGGTGTGTGTTCTGGAGAACTGATTTATGAGTGTAACAGGTATAGGAAAGTGTTTAGACGAAACTTTAACGTCATTCGACATAGAGTTCACACTGGAGAAAAGCAGTATCAGTGTAATGAATGTGGGAAGTTCTTCAGAAAAAGACCTTCACTTGTTAGACACCAGAGATTCACACTGGAGAGAAGACATATGTGTGCAAACATTGTGGGAAGTCTTTCAGTTACAACTGTAACCTCAAACGACACAACAGAGTTCACACAGGAGAAAAGCCATATAAGTGCAGTGATTGTGGGATATCCTTTCGTCAGAAGACCCACCTCGTGGAACACCTCAGAGTTCACACTGGACTTAAACCATATGAGTGCAGACATTGTGGGAAATCCTTCAGCTCCAAGTCTAACCTTAAACAACACAACAGAGTTCACACAGGAGAAAAGCCATATAAGTGCAGTGAATGTGGGATGTCCTTTCATACAAGGACTCAGCTCACTAGACACCTCAGAGTTCACACCGGAGAGAAGCCGTATGAGTGTAGAGAATGTGGGATGTCCTTTCGTACAAGGGCTCAGCTCAATGTACACCTCAGAGTTCACAGTGGGGAGAAGTCATATGAGTGTAGAGAATGTGGAATGTTCTTTCGTACAAGGGCTCAGCTCACTGTACACCTCAGAGTTCACACTGGACAGAAACCATATGAGTGCAGACATTGTGCGAAATCCTTCCGTTCCAAGTCTAACCTCAATCGACACAACAGCGTTCACACAGGAGAAAAGCCGTATAAGTGCAGAGAATGTGGGACGTCCTTTCGGACAAGGACTCAGCTCACTGTACACCTCAGAGTTCACACTGGACAGAAAACATATGAGTGCAGACATTGTGGGAAATCCTTCAGCTCCAAGTCTAACCTGAAACAACACAACAGCGTTCACACAGGAGAAAAGCCATATAAGTGCAGAGAATGTGGGATGTCCTTTCGTACAAGGGCTCAGCTCACTAAACACCTCAGAGTTCACACCGGAGAGAAGCCATATGAGTGTACAGAATGTGGGATGTCCTTTCGTACAAGGGCTCACCTCACTAGACACCTCAGAGTTCACAGTGGGGAGAAGCCATATGAGTGTAGGGAATGTGGGATGTCCTTCCGTTCCAAGTCTAACCTCAAACAACACAACAGCATTCACACAGGAGAAGAGCCATATAAGTGCAGAGAATGTGGGATATCCTTTCGTACAAGGACTCAGCTCACTAGACACCTCAGAGTTCACACCAAAGAGAAGCCATATGAGTGTAGAGAATGTGGGAAGTCCTTTCGTACAAGGGCTCACCTCACTGTACACCTCAGAGTTCACACTGGAGAGAAACCATATGAGTGCAGACATTGTGGGAAATCCTTCCGTTACAGGTCTAACCTCAGACAACACAACAGCGTTCACACAGGAGAAAAGCCATATAAGTGCAGAGAATGTGGGATGTCCTTTCGTATGTGGGATTACCTCATTAAACACCTCAGAGTTCACACTGGAGAGAAGCCATATGAGTGTAGAGAATGTGGGAGGTCCTTTCGTACAAGGGCTCACCTCACTAGACACCTCAGAGTTCACACTGGAGAGAAGGCACATGAGTGTACTGAATGTGGGAAGTCTTTTAGCCAAAAATCCAGCCTTAATAAACATCTGAGAGTTCACACTGGAGAGAAGTGTTAAATGTGCAGGGAATGTTTCCTTTTATTCACTTAGAATAACAACAATGAAGGAGACTCTTTGCGACCTATTTTCCTGAATTTAAACCCCTTTTAATGGGACATACACTCTTCTAGAGTCCTCATGTTTCCAGTACAGGTGAAGCTTAAACGAGGTGCATTGCACTTTAACATGCCCAGGTCTTCTACCCGATTGATCTGTGGCTGAAGAGATTTCCCCTCTACCACCTGGCTCGCCTGAAGAGTGTGTATCAGTCCCAACCACGGCGTGCTCAGGGGAAATGTATTCTGTGTTGTCACTTGTGCTTGAGAACATTAGGAACCCTCCGCTCCTGATAGGATCTTCATTTGTCTCCGAGGAGGTAATGCGCCTGACCCAGGGTTCATACAGGGCACCTTCCTCAGCTAAGAAGTGCGGCCTCTGTCCGGGACATGTGGTTCTCACATTATGCTGTGTTGAATTGTTTCAAATTCTGATTCACCAACCTGCAAACCGCCTTGTCCTGTTTTCTGGTTTGTGATCTTTAGTAAAGGTATTTTTTCTTTAGTACCTTTAATTTTCTTGGTTATATTCACCCCCAGGGATGATTATCAAGCACTATTGTGGTCTACGTTGTATAATTTACAGATATTGTGTGGATCCCAACGTTTCTGTGCTTTAGGAGGGACAGCATAGTGCCAGGAAATCACTCTTTGACCAATATTGGCTTTTAGTGCATTGTTGCCCACGGCCTTGAAATAAAGACTGCGTGACTTTGTGGTTCTTGTTTGCAGGTTTGATCCTGGCCCCTATGGAGCTTTGTAGGAGGCATCTAATTTTTCCTCCTCTCTCACATTGATGTCTCTCCCAGTCTTTCCCTTCCTCTCCCCCTTCCCTTGCACTCTGTCTGAAAATCAATGGAAAAATATCCTCAGGTGAGGATTACCAAAAAATCCAAACATTCACCCTGGTGCCCTGAGATGGGGCCTCTGCCGGCACCACCCACCTTTGCTCACTCCTGCCTTTTCTTGGGATGTTCCCACTGCAGGTGGGCTCACTGTGCCCTTCCCAGTGTTTGGCAGAGAGGCAAGGCCCTGGGAGGGAATGGGGTTCTGTGTGTGCTTGAGATGCACTGGCCAGGGCTCTTCTGTCTCGATCCAGAGGTCTCTCCAGCCTGCTCCTCCCCACCCGCCAGGCACCTGGCCTGCTGCAAATGAACCTACTTCTGTATCTTGGAGAAGCCCCCTGATGCTATGGGCCCTGAAATCAGTTCACCTTTAGAAAATCCTGCCTCCCGCCAACCCATTCACACCCCTGAGACCCACTGGTGTTTACGTCTCTCTTTTTTTTCATTTTAGGGATTATTTTGCACTTTATTAAAAATACGGCACACCTCTCCCCTACCCCTTCACCCATCCGTCCTGGAGGTAGCATGGATTCTCCAGGATATGGTTTTGTTTATTTTCAATGGTGGGAACATTCTGTAATACAAGCATTTCCAGAAGGAGAGGATTGGTCTCAATATAATTCCACATTTGGAGGATGATTTGTGGTTGGTGTGCCCCCGCCCCTAAGTTTTGCCTGTGCATGGAAGACCTGAAATGAGGGCATAGTTCCGGATTCTGGGGAATAGTGTGCTGCTGGGGGGTGCGGTTGAGGGGGCAGAGAGTTTGGGTGCCTGTGAACATGTTCCTGCCAGCTCATGGTCCAGGTTCCTTGAGCGGGTGGGCTGAGGGAAGGCTGTATGGATGAGAACTTGAATCAGGCTGGATGGAGGCTCAGCAGCCATGGGTGGGCATAAGAAACACATATAAAGACTATGGCTTTGGATACTGTTGAGCTGAACTGTTTCAGATTCCCCAAATACAGAGTCCCCTGTACTTGGGAACTGGCATCTAGTGGAGGACAGTACACAATGGACCAGGATACCTGTGAGAGGTGACAGCAGCGATGGGGGGAGGTGAAACCAGCGTTGGTCAGTGGGGGTCTTCACTGAGGAAGTCTGGGAAGGGTTGGCAGGCTCCAGGTGGGAGCCTGCCCTGTGCATTTGCGAGCTGTTCGGAGGTCACTCTGGCTGGTTTTAACAGCAAGGATCAGAAAGTGGTAAAAAATAAAATAAAATAAATGGTGGCCGAATAGGCTGATGTATTGTACATCTCATCCTGAGCCAAACTGGAAATACAACTAAATCAAAGAGCACCCACTTGTTATTAACAAATTACATGCAGCTCAGCAGACAATTTACAATCAGGAAAGATGCCCAGGGAATGGCTAGAACTGGAAAGTGGACTTGACAGACACAGAATGAGGTGCCGTAAAAACTGACCCTACAGAAATACAAGGGACTGTAAGAAAATACTATGACGGACATAATTCCAACAAACAGGACAACCTGGACAAAATGCCCATATTCTTAGAAAAATACAACCTTCCAAAACTCATTCAGGAAGAATCAGAAAACCTGAAAAGACCAATAACTACCAATGAAATTGAAGCAGTAATTAAAACAAAAAACTCCCAGCAAAGAAAAGGTCTGGTCCAGATGGCTTACTGAAACAGTTTTACCAAACATTCAAAGAACTAACAACTATACCCCTCACACCATTCCAACAAATCCAAGAGTATACAACACTTCCAAGCTCGTTTCACAAAGCCAGCATTATCCTAATTCCAAAACCAGATAAAGATATGGCAAAGAAAAAGAACCACACGTCCTAACCAGTTGCTCAGTGGCTAGAGCGTTGGCCTGCGGACTGAAGGGTCCCAGGATCGATTCCAGTCAAGGGCATGTACCTTGGTTGTGGACACATCCTCATTAGGAGGTGTACAGGAGGCAGCTGATCAATGTTGCTCTCTCATCGATGTTACTAACTCTTTATCCCTCTCCCTCTCTGTAAAATATCAATAAAATATATTGAAAAAAGAAAAAGAACTATAGGCCAATATCCCTGATGAACCTGGACACTAAAGTCCTTGAAAAATTTTAGCAAAGCAGGTCCAGCGATACAATTAAGACATCAAACATCATGACCTAGTGGGATCTATTCTGGGGATGCAAGGCTGGTACAATATTTGCAAATCAATAAACATGATACAGCACATACATAGACTGCAAGACCAAAAAAAAACAGATTGTAAAGGAAATCACATGATCATATCAGTCGATGCAGAAAAAGCATTAGACAAAAATCCAACACCCTGTTTTTTTAAAAAATAACTCGGCAAAGTGAGAATAGAAGGGACATACCTCAACATAACCAAAGCCACATATGACAGACCTACAGCCAACATCCTACTCAATGGGCAAAAATTAAAACCATATCCCCTACGAACAGGAACAAGACAATATCCGCCTTCACACTCTTGTTCAAATTGTACTGGAATTACTGGCTATGGTGATCAGATAAGAAGAAATAAAAGGCATCCCAATTAGAAGTAAAACTCTCATTCACAGATGACATGATATTGTACCCAAAGACGCAATAAAAAAACTACTAGATATAATAAATTCAGAAACGTAGTAGGTTTCAAAGTTAGGAACCAGAAATATGTCATTTTTACACAATTGTGAATTCTCAGAAATAGAAACACACACACACAATCCCATTAACCATTGCAACAAAAAATGAAGATATTTAGGAATAATCCTAACCAAGGAGGTAAAAGACCTACGCTCCCAAAAATAGAGGACATTGAAAATAGAGATAGATATCAACCAAGGGACTTGTGTGCATGCATATAAGCATAAGCAATGGATATGGACACTGGGGGATGAGTGGGGGTATGGGGGGCAATGGGGAGATAAGGACACATTTTTAATATCTTAATCAATAAAGAGAAAAAAAATAGAGATAGAGGAAGATATAAACAAGTGGGAAAATATACTGTGTTCAAGGATTTGTAGAATAACATCATTAAAATGTCCCTATTACCCCAAGCAGTCTACAGATTCAATGCCATTCCTATTAAAACACCAAAGGCATATTTCACAGACCTAGAATAAACACTCCAAAAATTTACATGGAACCAAAAAAGACCCCAAATAGCTGCAGCAATCTTGAGAAAGAAGAACAAAAATGGAGGGATCACAATAGCAGTTATCAAGTTATACTACAAATCCACTGTAGTGAAAACAGCCTGGTACTGCCACAAGAACAGGCATGTCGTTCAATGGAACAGAATAGAGAACCCAGAAATTGACCCAAGTCACTGTGCTCAATTTTTGACAAGGGAGGCAAGAGCATACAATTTAGACAAGATAGTCTGTTTCATTGTGTTGGTAAAATTGGACAGGTACATGCCAAAAGATTAAACTAGACCACCAACTTACACCATACACAAGAAAAAACTCAGAATGAATAAAAGTCTTAAATGTAAGAGGTGAAACCAAAAAAAAAGTCCTAAAAGAAACCGTAGTCCATAAATCTCAGATATCTCTCATAGCAATATGTTTACCGATACATCTCCTAGGACAGTGAACCTATAACACGCGTGTCAGAGGTGACACGGGAACTCATTTTTGTGGTTTATTTTTCTTTGTTAAATGGCATTTAAATATACAAAATAAATATCAAAAATATAAGTCTTTGTTTTATTATGGTTGCAAATATCAAAAAATTTCTATATGTGACACGGCACCAGAGTTAAGTTAGGGTTTTTCAAAATGCTGACATGCCGAACTCACAAGGTTCGCCATCGCTGTCCTTGGACAATGGAAACTAAGGAAAAAATAAACGTGGGACTATATGAAAATAAAAAGCTTTTGCAAGCAAAAGAAATCATTAGCAAAACAAGAGAGTCTATTACATGGGAGAACATATTTCTCAACGATACATCTGATAAGGGGCTAAGCTGCGAAATATATAGGAAACTCACAAGTTAACAAAAGAAACACAAACAATCCAATTAAAAAATGGGCAAATGACCTAAATGGACACTTGTCCAAAGTGGACATACAGAAAGCTAAGAGATCAATGAAAAAATGCTCAGAGTCACTAACCATATGAGAGATGCAAATAAAAATGAAAATGAGGTATCATGTCACACCTGTCAGAATGGCTACCATCAACCAATCAAACAAAAAGTGCCGGTGAGGAGGTGAAGAAAAGGGAACCCTCGTACACTGCTGTTGGGAATCCAGACTGGTGTAGGTGCTGTGGAAAAAAGTATGGAGTTTCCTCAAAATACTAAAAATGGAACTTCCATTTGACCCAGTAATTCCACTTCTAGGAAAGTATCCCAAGAAATCAACACCACCAATCAGGAAGAATATATGCACCCCTATATTCATAGCAACACAATTTTCAATATCTAAGATTTGGAAACAGCCCAAATGCTGAGCGGATTAGAACACTGTGGTACATCTACACAACAAAATACTACGCTACTATGAAAAACCATGCTTACCATTGGCAACAGCATGGATAGATCTGGAGAGCATTATGCTAAGTGAAATAAACCAGCTGGAGAAAGATAAATTATCACATGATCTCACACAAGGTGGACTCTATCTAATGAACAGCATAAACTGATGAACAAAAATAGACCCAGAGATATAGAAGCATTGAATAGACTATCAAACCTCAGAGGGAAGCCTGGGGTGGGGCGTGGGGGCAAAGAGATCAATAAATGAATTCATAGGCGTATATTCATAACACATGGACAGAGATAAAAGGGTGGTGAGGGCCTGGTTGGCAGGGGTGGGGGCAGGAGCATGCTGGAAGAGGTTGATGGGGGAAAAGGTAGACCTATGCAATACTTTCAACAATAAAGATTTAAAAATCATAAAATCTAAACTAATAAAAGGGTAATATGCTAATTAGACCGATGTTTTCTGGACATCCTTCTGGACAAAGCCACAGTGTCAGGGGCTGAGTGTCAGGGGCTGAGGCAGAAGCGGTTAGGAGCGATCATGCAGGCAGGGGAGCTAGGGAGCAATCAGGCTGGCAGGGGAGCAGTTAGAGGGCAATCAGGCCAGCAGGGGAGCAGTTAGGGGCAATCAGGCAGCCAGGGGAGGGCAGTTAGAGGTGATCAGGCAGCCAGGTGAGGGCAGTTAGGGGCGATCAGGGAGGGTTAGAGGGTGTTAATATGCTAGCTTTTCTCCAATGTCGTATAAGTGATCTTCGAATTTAATTTAAAAAAATTGTTGATCTTCGAATTTAATTTAAAAAAATTGTTTTGATATAACAGATAGTCCTCAGGTTACGTCGGACTCGGCATACATTGTTTCATGGTTACATCGCTATCTCCCATTTATTTATAAATATAAAAAAGTTCCATCATTTAGACGTATGTACATATGTGCTTTATGTTTTTTTTTTTTATTTACCACAAGTAAAGGTCAGGAATTGTTATCTTTTTTAAAAAATATATTTTATTGATTTTTTACAGAGAGGAAGGGAGCGGGATAGAGAGTTAGAAACATCGATGAGATGGAACCATTGACCAGCTGCCTCCTGCACACCCCCTACTGGGGATGTGCCCACAACCAAGGTACATGCCCTTGACTGGAATCGAACCTGGGACTTTTCAGTCCACAGGCCGATGCTCCATCCACTGAGCCAAACCGGTTTGGCAGGAATTGTTATCTTCTAATTTTTTTCCTTACTGTTTCACTTCATTACTGCTGTGTATGCACTCCATGTGAGTGACATAGGTGCTTATGTAGGAGGGTTCCGACTTACTGCGAAAATCGCATTATGTCGGCCATAGGAACGTATCTCAGACATAACCCGAGGAGCTAATGTCGTACCACTAGTCTAGAATTTAATATACAATGAATAGAAGAAATCAAACCACCAAGAAAATATTTTTAAAGAATGGTCCCTGTGGTTGAGCATTGACCTATGTGCCAGAAGGTCACGGTTCAATTCCCGGTCAGGGCACATGCCCGGGTTGCGGGCTCAATCCCCAGTGGGGAGCATGCAAGAGGCTACCCATCCATGATTCTCTCTCATCATTGATGTTTCTATCTTTCTCTCCATCTCCCTTCCTCTCTGAAATCAAAATCAATAAAAATATATTTAAACTAGAGGCCTGGTGCATGACATTCATGCACTGGGGCAGGGGGCAGGGGTCCCTCAGCCCGGCTTGTGCCCTCTCACAGTCCGGG